CCTAAATTTATAACCAACTTTGAGTTTAATATATATTTTTTATAGCTGAAAGTAAAAAATATTGTTTTTCTTCAAAATTTTCGGTCTTTTTTTGTTTATAGTGTGAAAAATAAAAAGCGCACAGGTGATCAAATACCACCGAAAGAAAGCTCTATTTGTGTGAAAAAAAAGGACTTAAATTTCATTGGGTACAGCATTGCATGACCGCGCAATTATCAGTTGAAATAGTGCAGCGCCAAATCACAAAAAGAGGCCTGGTCAGGAAGGGGATATATTTTTTTTTTTTTTAAATAAGGATATTGCTTAGTGTCACTAAAAAAAAAGGTACATTTTTTCATTCACTGATCTGAAAGAAGTATAGGAATAGGATTTCTGTTGTCTCTCTGACACTTTTGTTGCGAACGTGTTCTTGGCTGTGAAATTTTGAAGTCTTGTACATCCTGGCAACTAACAGTCACCGTACCCATATTTCTCTCAACATAGGGACTTTTAATATCCTTTTCTTCTGAAACCATGGGAAATCCCACCAGTGGTACTTTCTGCATTTGATAGATGACTATGGATAACCATTTAGGCTGCTGTTCTGCTTTTTGTCACCTCTCCTCATAGAGTCTGTTGATAAGTTGCTGCTTTCATTATCTATATCAATGGGACCCCTCCTATCAGTGTATTACCAAAGTCAAACTTGACAGCTCTTGACTTGCAAAGCAATAAAGCTCTGATTGTGTCAGAGTACTGCCCCTTTCTTTCTCAGCTGCCTTTGGAGGTAAAATGTTTTTTTTTTTCATGAGTACATAACTACATGCAAGTTTTTTATTAGCTTGGAGTTCCTCTTAAGGATCTGATTAATCTGTTATCCACAAATACTTACAAATTGCATTTATGAACATACTTTAGTTATGCAAGCTCTGCTGTGCTCCTTACATAATATAGCCTTTTATATTAAAATAAAAAGCTGGATAACACCTCAGGTTAGTTGGAGTCTTTGTTCCAGGGAAAAATTTCCCTGTTTTTTTTTTTCCTTTTTGCCTTTAGCAATTTTTTCCATGTATAATTTACCAAATGCATCCCAGGACAATCAGGCCACACGCAAAAAAAAAAACTGCAGTAGGGGAAATTTTTTTGAAATGGAAATCCCACAATAAAACAAAATGCTGGTGACTTATGAGCTCTATGTAAAGAATTTGTAAACTATAGATAATAACAGTAGTATTTAACTTTGAACAGGAAGATGACACTGATTATCAGTATAGAGAATGACTCAACATATATTGTAAAATACATATTTTTTACACCTTCTACAGAACCTTAATAGGTATCTTTTCTAAGACACATTTCTTTATTATACTACCAAGATATGCCTGCTTGAAAGTGTATGTAACCCAAAGCATATAAAACAAGTATGATGTTGCTCAGTGTTTTTGTTTCTTCTCTGCTGATCTGTGTTTTACCTTGTAATCCATGCATTTATTCATGTGATAATGCTCACTCTGTGCCTTAGGGCACATGTACACGGGGCGTTTGAAAAACTCTTATGAATGGTCGAAACTGACTGCTGGAAAACGTAGGTTTAAAAACGTCAGTTTAGCCACGTTTTCATACGCGTTTATGTCGTGTTTATGTGCATTTGCATTTAGAAGCGTTTTGAAAAGATAACCTCAGGAGACCTTCCCAAATGCCCAGAATGCACTGAAAAATAGTAAATAAATTTACTATTTCAGTCATTTTGAGAGGAATAGAGAGAGCAGCATGTGTTGAGATTACCTGTATTTTCTGGTTGTATTCACTATGGATCCCATCATGAGCATAATGCAGCACGTTCTACCATTTTTTTCCTTCACACAAAACCTGGAACTGACTGCACTGGTGTACTAAGTCCATTTGAATACATGGAAAACGCTTTGCATGCATTTCTGATGATGAAAAAGGGCTATGGACAGCATCTGGACATGGAACAGTTAAAAAAACGCTTCTAAACGCAAACGCGGCAAGCATTTGGCATTTGTCATCCTGGTAAAATCTATTCCTGAACACAAGTTTGGTGCGTTCAAAAAAAAACGACTGTAAACTCAACTGCCTGTAAAACATTAGGGAGAGTTCTGGGGCTGCTGAATATAAAACACTGAACAGCTCCTACAGTGCAGTGTACATGAGCCCTTATAATGCAGTGGTGGTGTTGAGACACTTCCTTGCACGTTTACATAGTGATACTATAGGTCACCTTGCTTTTGCACAGCATGCATGCAAGGATTCCCATTCCCAGTTTAAATGATTATACAAGTTCTACTGCTGTAGGGCAAGAGGAGGTAGCTGAGGTTTTAATCCTTCACTCTCCACCTATAAAAGTAGAAAAATATGGCAGTTCTGTGACTTTAGGTCCAGGACCCGATAGAAGCATCACTAGAAGCAGTTCTATCCACCCACAGCAGGCTGTACATACACTGCTAAAAAAAACTAAATATAGGAGCACTTTGAAAACACATCAGATCTCAATGGGAAAAAATATCATGCTGGATATCTATACTTATATGGACTGGGTAATGTGTTAGAAGCTTAGGGACGCCCCATCATTTGATGAAAATGATTAACCTACAGAGGACTGAATTTAAAGACACCCTGAAAATAAAAGTGAAAAAATTATGCAGCAGGCTAGTCCATTTTGCTGAAATTTTAGCAACTCAAAATGGTACTCAGTAGTTTGTATGGCCCTCACGTGCTTGTATACATGCCTGACAATGTCGTCCAGGAACTGCCTGCATACTCTCACCCAGGGCGTAGATAAGGGGGGTCAGGGGGCTCCAAACCCCCCAGAGCATCCTACCAAAATGCCCAGTCAGTGTCCCTGCTGCCGTGCTGCTCAGCCTCAGCAGCAGCACAGCAGAAGCAGTCAGAACTGTAGTGATCTGTCAGCTAAAGGGCTACTGATAAGCTGGTGCAAGGGGCTCCGGAGAGACATGAAGCTCCAGGCACCTACCCACCATCTCCTGTGAGATCCCGATGCTCAGAATGCACACAGATACAGGCAACTGTCCGCACAACCGAAGGAGCTCAGACACCTAAGCTCTGTCTTAAAACACAGCCAAAGGGAGACTGGGGATGCAGAAGTTTTCCTGCCTCTGTACCATGCTGAGTCTGAGGTCTGGTAAGTGAAGAGGCAAGGAACTTCTGTTTGGGGAAAGGAGGGGGTGAAAATTCCATCTGGGGGAGTTTTTTTTGGAGGGGGGATAAGGAGAAGGGAGTGGATTTGCTTTTGGGGAAGGGGGGAGTTTCTTGTGGGGAAGTTTACAGGGGGTTGGTTAAGAGCAGGAACTTGCTTCTGGGAGGAGAGTTTACTTGAATGAAGGGAAGATTTCTTCAGGATTAGGAATTGTTGCTGGGGGGGGGGGTTGACCGAGCCAGGCATTTTGCTTTGGGAGGGTAGGTTTAGAGATGGGGTTTAAATTTATGTTTATAATTGAGGGAGGGAGGTGTTTTGCAGAGGTGATCTTTGCTTGGGGTGGAGGGGTTTCTTAGGAGGGTGAGGCGGTAAATGTTTTTCCATTCAGTGGGATGCTTGAGGGAAGTTGGGTTTCTTTAGGAGGGAGATTTACTTGGAGGGGCATATTTTTGTTTTTAGGGGGTTGCTGGAGTAAATGGGGATATTTTTGCAAACATTTTTACCTGGCATAGTGGGTATTTTTAATGACAGATATTTTTGATTTGGGGGAGGGGGGAAATAATGTATTTGCTTATATAGTCAAAATGATGGATGTAGGCAAAATGATGTACTGGTACATTGCCGCCTACTTCCGGGTTTAGGGCAACCACATGCAAGCCCCCTGCCCAGCACGCACTATACGGGGTTAACTTATCTCTCCACGAGCTCCACGAAAAGGTAAGTTTTAAAGCAAGCCGACGATCCCCGCAAAATGGAATGGATCTGCGGATTGGGGAGCATAATGGATTGGACTCTGATCCATTATGCTCAATCTGCAGATCCGATCCATCCTGTGGGGATCGTCGGCTTGCTTTAAAATGTACCGTTTTGTGGAGCTTGTGGAGAGATCAGTTAAGCCCGTATAGGTTGGGGAGGATAATAGATCAGACTCCAATCCATTATGCTCAATCCACAGATCCGATCCATCCTGCGGGGATCGTCGGAGGGGGTGTCAGCAAGTGTTCCGGCACCGAATGACACCAACCTTAGGGACGCCCCTGCCAGCCAGTGTCCTTAGTACAGTGACCGTGTATAGCAGTGATGGCGAACCCGTGGCACGCGTGCCACAGCCGGCACACCGAGCCTTATCTGTGGGCACGCCAGGAGAATACCGTATTTTTCGCTCCATAAGACGCACTTTTTTTCCCCCAAAAAAGGGGGGAAAATGTCAGTTCGTCTTATGGAGCGAATATAGAGCGGCCGGTCCGGTATTTCCACCGCCGCCGTGTCAGAATACCGGGCCGGCCGCTCAGCTCTGCAGTGGGACCGCACCTGTCCCTCTATCCAGCGGCGCGCTGTCTTCCCGGCTTCTGTAGTGTGCGTGACAGCCGGGTCCCAAGTGCGCATGCGCAAGAAGCAGTGCTCTTTGTGAATGGTAAGGCGGTACCTGGGACACATGACAGATCCCAGAAGCCGCCGGACCAATCACAAAGCGCAGCGCTTCTCGCGCATGCGCACTGGGCATCCGGCTGTCCGACGAGCGCCCACACTACAGAAGCCGGGAAGACAGCGCACGGCTGGATAAAGGAACAGGTAAGATTAAAAAAAAAACTCTGCGGAAGTAAGAGCGGGTACCTGTCAAATTCAGGTACCCGCTCCCCCTCCCTCCCCAAAGGTCAGCAGTCATCTGTACTGTCCGCAGTCTCTGGTCCCCTGTACTGTCTCAGTCTCTGGTCATCCCTGTACTGTCTGCAGTCTCTGGTCATCCCTGTACTGTCCGCAGTCTCTGGTCATCCCTATGCTTTCCGCAGTCTCTGGTCATCTCCTGTACTGTCTGCAGTCTCTGGTCATCCCTGTACTGTGTCTGCAGTCTCTGGTCATCCCTGTACTGTGTCTGCAGTCTCTGGTCATCCCTGTACTGTGTCTGCAGTCTCTGGTCATCCCTGTACTGTGTCTGCAGTCTCTGGTCATCCCTGTACTGTGTCCGCAGTCTCTGGTCATCCCTGTACTGTGTCCGCAGTCTCTGGTCATCCCTGTACTGTGTCTGCAGTCTCTGGTCATCCCTGTACTGTGTCTGCAGTCTCTGGTCATCCCTGTACTGTGTCCGCAGTCTCTGGTCATCCCTGTACTGTGTCCGCAGTCTCTGGTCATCCCTGTACTGTGTCCGCAGTCTCTGGTCATCTCTGTACTGTGTCCGCAGTCTCTGGTCATCCCTGTACTGTGTCCGCAGTCTCTGGTCATCCCTGTACTGTGTCCGCAGTCTCTGGTCATCCCTGTACTGTGTCCGCAGTCTCTGGTCATCCCTGTACTGTGTCCGCAGTCTCTGGTCATCCCTGTACTGTTAATTAGTTTGCACTGCTGTACGAGTTGTTTTTTCTAAACCAAAAGCTCGATATTCAGGTTTCATTGCAGTGTTGGCACTTTGAAAGAAATAAGTTGGTTTTGGGTTGCAGTTTGGGCACTCGGGCTCAAAAAGGTTCGCCATCACTGGTGTATAGTATTATCACTGATCACTGTACTAGTTTCACTGGAGATGTCTGTGGCAGTTAGTCAGTTCCCACCAAGTGTCAGATTGCCCACTGCACTATCGTAGTCCCGTTCTAAGTCGCTGATCACCGCTATTAGTAGTATAAAAAAAATACAAATTCCAGTATATAAACCATAGTTTGTAGCCACTATATACATTCATGAAAACCGATCAATATGCACTTACTGAGATTTTTTTATCAAAAGCGTAGCAGAATATATTTTTACCAAAATTTATGAAGAAATTTGATTTTTTTTTTTTTTAAGGTTTTTTTTTTTTTTTTTTTGGTTTTTTATTTTATTGGATATGTTTTATAGCAGAAAGTAAGAAATTATGTTTGTTTTTTAACATTTATGGTCTTTCTTTGCTAATATCGCAAAAAGAAAAAGTGGTTACCACTGGAAACCCAGTGGTGATCAAATATCTCCAAAAGAAAGCTCTATTTGTGTAATAAAACTATATAAATTTTGTTTGGGGTACAGCTTTGCATGACTGTACAATTGTCAGTTAAAGTAATGCAGTGCTGAATAGCAAAAAATGGCCTGGTCATGGAGGGAGGTAAATCTTCCGGAGGCAAGTGGTTAATTAAGCCTGACCTCTGTACGGTTGACTGTGTAGCATACTCCTGATCACTGGACCATGTATATTGGGCTGTACTTTAACATCAGATTCCACCTTTTGGAAAAAATGTATTAAATGCACTCACTTTAATAAAAAATGAAAAAAACAAAAGCTGGGAGTGCACTGCTTACCACAGTTTGGAGCCCTCTGCAATGCCTAGATTGAACAGTAAGGTTGGCTATTATCCAGATTTGGTGTGCTACCTGAGCAGGTGCAAAGGGCACCATATTGTGGTAGGCAGTGCACTTCATAAAATTCCTTATGATACACCATTTTAAAGTAAAAGAAAATCAGCTTGTGCACTGCCTGCCATAATATGGTGCCCTTTGCACCTGCTCAGTTTGCACATTTAGACTGAACACGAGCCAACTTTATGCAGGCCATACATGGGTCGAATTCCAAACTAATTTTCTTTATAAAATCAAACATTTTGTGCATTTTGTAATCCAATGGTGCCATCATTGATTTTGAAATTTGAACAACCAAGCCTTTAATTTCACCTTGTGTTGCTGCAGAAAATTATTTTTGTGGCCAATAATTTTCTTTGCTTTCCAGGTCACCGCTCATGCTCATTTATTTTTCTATTACATTTCTCACACAATTCTCCCATCATTGATTAGAAATGTATTCGTTTTTCAAACAAATTCCAACATGCCCGATCACTCAAATTCAATGGTCACTCAAAAAAATTGTCCGTTGCTGTGGCCCACCAGTGGTGCGAAATTAGAACGGAAATTCTTAGAATGTTTTTTTTTCGAAAATTCTTTCGGAATTCGACCCATGTATGGCCGGCTTTATTGACTAGGTGCAAAAACACACAGTAATGCACAGTAAGGTTAGCAAATATTAAATCTTTGGTTTCATTCATACATCCTAAATGACCATGGTGCTGCAAATATACTACAAATACCTGCATCTGGGTTCACCTAGGTGTATAGACTGCTCAGCCTGTACACATAGGTGACGGGCTGAAAGCTAAGTGTCTGCTACTGTAAACATGTTTTCACATGTAACTGCACATCTAGTCGTTACCTGCAGGTAGTGATATATGTCTTCCCTTGCACAAAGGAGCAGATTCTGTGTCCTGCTGATGGGTTAAGGACCTTCTATGGCCCTGTCCAGCTCTCCTAGAGTAACTGCCTGTCTCCTGGAATCTCCTCCATGCTCTTGAGACTGTGCTGGGAGACACAGCAAACCTTCTGGCAATGGCACGTATTGATGTGCCATCCTGGAGGGGTGGACTGCCTGTGCAGCCTCTGTAGGGTCCAGGTATCGCCTCATGCTACCAGTAGTGACACTGACCCTAGCCCAGTGTTTCTCAACTCCAGTCCTCATGGACCCCCAACAGGTCATGTTTTCAGGATTTCCATTATTTTGCACAGGTGATTTGATCAGTTTCACTGCCTTAGTAATTACCACAGCTGTTTCATCTGAGGGAAATCCTGAAAACATGACCTGTTGGGGGTCCATGAGGACTGGAGTTGAGAAACACTGCCCTAGCCAAATGCAAAACTAGTGAACAATAGTCAGAAAAGCTGAGTAGGGAAAAAAATGTCAGTGGGGTCATCTCATCGTTGCCCATCTAGTGCACCTGTTGTTAATTTCACTAACACCAAAGCAGCTGAAACTGATTGATTTTATATATATATATATATGTGTGTGTGTGTGTGTGTGTGTATGTATGTGTGTGTATATATATATATATATATATATATATATATATATATATATTACACAATTGTGTTCAAAATAATAGCAGTCAGACATCACTAACCTGATCAATCACTGTTTTTGGTAGAAATGATATTTCTACATGGCAAATAATTTACTAGCAGGTGTAGTAGAGTAATAGAAATCCAACAGACCCAACAGTCATGACATGCATGCTGCTGATTCTGTGTAATTGAATCACTAATTGAAAGGGGCATGTTCAAAATAATAGCAGTGTGGCGTTCTGTTTAGTGAGGTCATTCATTCTTTGAAAAACAGGTGGCAATTATGGCCCTTATTTAACCACTTGCCTACTAGGCACTTATACCCCCTTATTTACCAGGCCAATTTTCAGCTTTCAGCGCTGCTGCACTTTGATTGACAAATGCGCGGTCATGCAACATTGTACCCATATGAAATTTTGATAATTGTTTTCTCATAAATAGAGCTTTCTTTTGGTGGTATTTAATCGCCACTGGGTGCTTTACTTTTGCACTATAAATAAAAAAATTGCAAAAAATTTGAAAAAAAAAAAAAGTTTCTTTATTTCTATTATAAAATTTTTCAAACAGGTATTTTTTCTCCTTCACTGATGTGCGTTGATGAGGCAGCACTGATGGGCACTGATAGGCGGCACTGATGGGCACTGATAGGCAGCACTAAAGGGCACTCATAGGCAGTACTAATGAGGTGGCACGGATAGGCGGCACTGATAGACAGCACTAATGAGGAGTCGCGCATAGGCGGCACTAATATGCAGCACTGAGAGGCGGCACTGATAGGTGACACTGATGATGGGTACTGATAGACGGCACTGACTGGCATCACTGCTGGGCACTGACTGGCACAACCCCTGGGCACTGACTGGCAGCACTGCTGGGCTGCACTGGTGGGTGGCACTGGTGGGCAGCACTGGTTGGTGGGCACAGGTGGGTGGGCACAGGTGGGTGGCACTGCTAAGCACAGGTAGGTGGCACTTCTGGGCACAGGTGTGTGACACTGCAGAGTGGCACAGGTGGGTGCACTGCTGGGCACAGGTGGGTGCACTGCTGGGCACAGGTGGGTAATCTGCTGGGCACAGGTGGGCGGAGCTAGTGGGCGCACTGCTGGGCACAGGTGGGCGGAACTTGCGGGTGGCACTGCTGGGCACCGATCATCAGGGCACTGATCATCAGTGCCCTGATGATCGGTGCCGATCCCCGCTCTGACAACTGCCGGTTCTCGGCAGTACTTTCCTCACGATCTGACAGAAAAGTGCAGGAGAACACTTGCATTTCCCTCTGATCAGCGTGTCGTTAGACACCGCTGATCACGTGGTAAAAGGCCGCTGTGATTGGCCTTTTACCACATCACGTGATCAGCTGTGTCCGTAGGACACAGCGATCACGGAGATCGCCGGGTGCGCGCCCCCTGGTGCGCGCAGGAGAGCGCGTTCTGGGAGGACGTCATATGACGTCCACTCAGAACTGGCCGGCCGCAGTGTAGCCGTCATTCGGCTATCTGCGGTCGGCAACTAGTTAAGGAAGGAAGGCAGCAAATGTTGTACATGCTGGTTACAATGCATTTCTCTCTGAAATTCTGAGGAAAATGGGTCGTTCCAGACATTGTTCAGAAGAACAGCGTACCTTGATTAAAAAGTTGATTGGAGAGGGGAAAACATATAAAGAAGTGCAGAAAATGATAGGCTGCTCAGCTAAAATGATCGCAAATGATTTAAAATGGCAACCAAAACCTGAAAGACGTGGAAGAAAGCGAAAAACTATCATTCGAATGGATAGAAGAATAGCCAAAATGGCAAGGACTCAGCCAACAATCAGCTCCAGGAAGATTAAAGAAGGTCTAAAGTTACCTGTGAGTACTGTTACAATTAGAAGACGCCTATGTGAAGCCAAGCTATCTGCAAGAAGCCCCCGCAAGGTTGCAAAAAAGACATGTGCTGAAGAGGTTACAATTTGCCAAAGAGTACATTGACTGGCCTAAAGAGAAATGGCGCAACATTTTGTGGACTGATGAAAGTAAGATTGTTCTTTTTGGGTCTAGTGGCCGGAGACAGTTTGTCAGACGACCCCCAAACACTGAATTCAAGCCACAGTACACTGTGAAGACAGTGAAGCATGGTTGCGCAAGCATCATGATATGGGGATGTTTCTCATACTACGGTGTTGGGCCTATTTATCGCATATCAGGGATCATGGATCAGTTTGAATACATCAGAATACTTGAAGAGGTCATGCTGCCTTATGCTGAAGAGGAAATGCCCTTGAAATGGGTGTTCCAACAAGACAACGACCCCAAACACACCAGTAAACGTGCAACATCTTGGTTCCAGACCAACAAGATTGACGTTATGGAGTGGCCAGCCCAATCCCCGGATCTTAATCCAATAGAAAACTTGTGGAATGACATCAAAAATGCAGTTTCTGAGGCAAAACCAAGAAATAGAGAAGAACTGTGGAATGTAGTCCAATCATCCTGGGCTGGAATACCTGTTCACAGGTGCCAGAAGTTGGTTGACTCCATGCAACACAGATGTACAGCAGTTCTCAGAAACAGTGCTTATGCAACGAAATATTAAGTGATTCAAAGGAAAGCAAAATATTCGAGTGTGTGTGTGTGTGTGTGTGTGTGCGTGGTGTGCGTGCGTGTGTGTGCGATTTTGAATGTTTGCCCACTCACAAAGAATTGATCAGTCTAAAAATTGAATGGTGGGTGTATTGTAACACAGAGACAGAATAGCAACAAAAAATTCAAAAGAAAATTAGACTGGGATGCCATTAAAGTTCATGCTCGTGTAAAAGCAGGTGTCCCAGTACTTTTTGCAATATAGTGTATATGTTGTTTGGGGGTTTCAAGTAATTTTTCTAGTAAAAAAAAATTGCTGATTTTTATATGTAGGAGAGGAATGTCAGAAATGGTGGGGTGGTAATGTACTCTAGCACAGTTCCCTGTG